CCTCTACTGAATTCTTCTTTCTCTCTGGCCCAGCATGCAGTGGTCTGTGTTTTTTCCTCCTCTCGTGGAGCAAGGTAATAAATAACTAGAAGCGCTTTCAGATTGTCCTGCCACGTGTGGAGACGGGCAACAGAACAAATCCATACTTTCAGCTACAGGACTTCCTTTGCTACAGTTCACAAACATGAGATGACAATGGCAAAAAGTAAAAGGTGCGGGGCAGGAGGCAAGGGTGAGGGAGCTTAAGGGTTCCTGCTGCTCCCATGGGCCAGCTGGAGTCCCGAGTCCAGCAGTTCCTTGCATCTGATCCAGGTATTTATTGTTAAGCAGCCAGGCTGTCTAGTCTAACTCTCAACCAGGACTTTGTGAGGCTTAGTTGCTCTGTCATTGCCACCTTGGAGGTGGCGCTATCACAAACAACAAGATCAGCCTGGTTATTTTAGTGACTCTTCATTTGCAAATGCTGATATGGCGCAGTCCCCACTCTATTACCGCGAAAGCCTCACTGGTACCCTGGGGGAAGTAGATGTTTTTACTATGGCATCCAGAAGGTTAGCAGCAAATGTCTGAAAACAGAAAGCCCTCAAGGCAGAGGTGTCATTTCTGAGGAATACGAAGTACCCACACTGTGCGTCGTCACAGCTAGCTGTAATTGTGACGGGTTCGAGAACAGGCGAGGCTGGGGCGCCAAGGAACAAAGTCAGAGGGAATAAGGAGGTCTGACATTAGGGCCAGGAATATCCCCACCTGAGAGGCAAAACAACAGAGAGAGCCAAGAGTTCTCTTCCTCCCCCCACCCCGTGTGTGTGTCTGTGTGTGTGTGTGTGTGTGTGTGTGTGTGTGTGTGTGTGTAGTCTGACTAGGAGCTTAGTGCCTTCAGGGCCGTGAGATGATTCTGCATGATACATAATAGTTGATATGCGCCGTTACACATTTAAGTGGAGACACTTAGACTATATAACATGAACGAAAGTACATGAGGAGACCCTAAGTCAAACTATGGACTTTAATTAATAATTGCGTGTCAATGCTGGCTTACCAATGGTAAGGAGCACACTACCCACAGTTGTTAATAACAGGGGAAATGGTTAGAGATGGAACATAAGAGACTGTGTTTTGCTAACCCAAAGGACTGTTCTAATATATATTCTTCCCGCAGGTCTGGTAATGTAGCTAATGTGAATGGGATTTATCTAGCATGTTGAACTCTGGGTTCCGTATACAGCACTACCAAAATTAAAAATATAAAGGTTACGAAATTGACACCAAAATCATGCTAAAACTGTATCTAGGAAAAATACAATTTGTATTTTACTTGTTCCACTTGGTATCTTAGCAATCCTTTTTTTTTTTTTTTTTTAATGTATTCGTTAAACTAAAGAAATATCACCCCAACAAGAAATGATTAGTCAATCAAAGCCTAGAATCCTTTGGTCTATTTTACTCTATGACAGAGTTAAAGGAGAAATTACAACAAAAGCCTGCAGGAACAAGAGGCTCAATGTCTTTAGGTACTGCAGCATCCTTCCTCTGTGAAAAGGGACACTGGCCCAGCCACAGGAGCACCACATGATGCAGTGTCCACATGTCTAAAGCAAAGTAGTAGGTGTATACTTGGTAAATTCTCACTCACGTAATTTTTCATATTCAAATTCAACATGCAGTTGAATTTGGCACCATGGGTCTCCGTAACACATGGCCAGTCAGCTTATTGCTATTTCGAGGACGCTCTTCAGCCCCATTTATCTGTAAGAAATTCCCCACAGCCCTAAATCAGAGGTTTAGCCCTCACAGGAAGAGAGGAGATGATACAGTTCTGTGAGGAGTGAATAAGGATTCAGCTTTATGGGTGCTATGCTCTGCCACCTAGTTTTCGTCAACGTAACATAGACTAGAAAGAGGGAACTTCAGCTGAGGAATTGCCTCTATCAGTATGACCTATGATCATGGCTATAGGGTATTTTAATGATTGATGTGGGTGGGCCAAGCACACAGTGAGAGGTATCACTCCTGGGCAAGTCCTGCTGGATTGTCTAAGATAGCAGGCTGAGCAGGCCAGTAAGCAGCATTCCTCTGTGGTCTCTGTTTCAGCTCCCGCCTCTAGCTTCCTGCTTTGGCTTCCTTTGATGATGGAGTGTGGCCCATAAGCAAATAAACCCTGCCTTCCCTTTACTAGTCATTGGTCAGTGTTTTATCACAGGAACAGAAAATGACTAACCAAGGCATCATGTGCCTTTGAGAAAGGTGTGCGGCTTGGGGGACAGAGCTTGGGAATCCCTGCCACAGTAGCCAAGGCAATCAACAAAAAAAACCTTGACAAACCTAGATTGAAGATCTGCAAGGAAGAGAGGGTCTCCAGCACACAGTTGACCAGTTTGGCCTGAAGCCATGCTTTAGTTGATGCAGCCGGGTCCTGCTTTTGCCAAACACTTGCTGTCAGCGCACAGCCATGTGTGAGTGGAGCCCTGGAGCGATTACACAGCAGCGCACAGAATCAGAAAGCACTGAGAAGCTGAAGGATGCCCACAAGGCCAGGCCTTTGCTAGCCAGCGCCCATACAGTCACAGGAAACAATCTAAGACACTCTGCAATCTTAGCCCTGAGGGCAGGCACCCCCCTCTGGCCATCTTGAAGGAACATGTAGAATTCACTTGGCAGTCATGCTGCTTTAGACTGAGTAGAGGTCTAATCAATCTTGGATAGAAGACCTGAAAGGAAAACAAGGGGAGAGAGGAAGGGCAAGATGCCGGGGATGGTTCTGAGCTGTCTGGCCTCTTATAACCCCAGACCTTGGAACTATGCTGGTAATGAAGACTAATGCAAGCATTTGAAAGGCCGAGGCAGAATAAAACGGCCTAGAGCTCTAATTTTAGAGTATAAAGGATTTTTAAAAATCAAAGCTATGCTTGAATCTCAATAAAGCCTCAGTAAATATACTCCCCTCTAATGCTGCTATGCCTGATACACTCTGATACAGACATACACTTTACATGCTATTAATAGTAAGGTTATAAGAAAAATGTGGAATATTGACCGCCTTCAATAATCGTGCATTGCTGTCTGCCCATGGCCAGTGATTGGCTAATCAACCATGCACTAACCAGAGGGGCCCCTGTCTTCGTGTTCAACAAAGCCATCCAGTTCCCCCTCAACTGGTACTTTAAACACCCTCCATATTGCAGTCACATGAAATCCATTGCAAGGACATCACCTGCTACTCCTATCGCCTTTCCAGGAGGCTTCTACCCCCACTGCCTCACCACCCATGACAGCCTTCCTGACTGCCAGAACTCTAGCTTGCACAGTTGCCTTCCTACTGCATAACCTGCCTGGTCTTAAACAGAAGTCACCTCTGAAGACAGAAATCAGAAATACTGCCAGTGCCAAGTCAGGGAAACAGAAGGGCAGCTTTCGAATCGCGCAGTTGCTTAAGAGACGCACGGAGACATGAGTCTGTTCTCCTGAAGGGGACAGGTTCTCTAGTAAGGTAGATGGGACAAGAATAGCCTAAAAAATGAAATGCAACATGGGCGCCATATTATAAATTGTGCCAAGATTATGCAAAGTGTAGTTATTGATCAGTTTAATTGTTTCATTATTATTATTTTAAAGGAAATACCGAGTGTCAGAAAATCTGTAATATGTTTTATTTGAGAGACGTAAATAATGTGTATAGTCATACATGTGGGATGATAGGTATTTAAATTCTAGGTTTTAGAAGAAAATGTTTATAAGAAAAAAACTCCTAATAAATAGTTATGTTTGGCCATGTAAAAAAAATAGAAGATTTCCTCTAATTCCCCTTCCTTATTCTTGGAGTATAACTGTACCTCGTAGAGTACAGCTAAGCCACGCCAAGGCTTGGCTGAGACATTTACTAATTGTTAGACTTTGGATGAGTGACTTCAACTAAGGATAAATGATCCTTAGGTTAGCTCGCCTGTCACCTTAGAGTTTGCTGCAAGAATCAACTGATGTGTCACCCTGCTCCAAGGCCTAGCACAGTGCTTAGCAAATAGTAAATGGTCAAGAACCACTGGACTTTCCTCCACTCTCACACTGTATCCTATTTGTTGTATTTTATTTTTGGGACCCTAAAGATTCTTACAGCCTGTAATGGTTGACTGAAGCAAGAGCTGAAAGAATCTAGGCTCGGGATTTCAGGCCGGCATCTCTCACAGCCCACTGGCTACTCAGGCACCCTCACAAGCCTGTAACACAGATACCAGGGGCTACAAACTCCATTCCATTCCACAAAGCTCTTGATGGCATTTGAAAATCATGTTTAAAAATATAAATTTACCTACCTTTAGTATTTTAAAGCAGGCAGAAGAAAAAGTAAAATTTTAATGTTCGATGTTTAATCTTACTTTTAAACCGAGACTAAGAGCAGGTGGTCCCTGCAGGAATGCTTTTAAAACAGATGTTCTGGAAGGAAAGTGACTGTGGTGTGAGGTCAGGGGAGAAGAGATGGAGAGACATACTCAGGCAGACTCCTGTGCTTCTCAAACTGTCTGAGTTATGCCACAACACACACACACACACACACACACACACACACACACACACACACACAATCAATGGGCCTTTGATCAACAGAACTGGGTGGTGGCACAGACTCTTCTGTCACTGCTGTGGTTATCGACAAGCTGGTAATGACCATGCTGTAATGTGTCACTCATACTGAAAGCATTAGCATTGCTTAAAGGTCAGAACAAATTCTCTTAAATGCAGAATTCCTTAGAAATCAGAGGGAAGACTCAAGGTCTTTTAAAGCACTATGCCAGGGACTTTGTGAGACATTTAGTATTGGTCCTCACCATAATGCCTCACATTAATTATTCCTAGCCTAAAGAAAAATATTGGCTTAAAAAAAAACCTGGTTGGTATAATCCTTCTAAGGAGAACAAAAAGGAGTGTTATGAAAGTGTTAATGACCTATGAGAGGAAACACAAACTGGAGGCAAAGGTGGATCAAATCAGAGCAAAACTGTACTTACTTTGTGACACTCTTACTAGCTCGGTCACACTGAAAACACCTGAGGTGACAAAACTGTCCTGGAAGCCCAAATGTCCTGTGGAAACACAAGCGGAAGAAAACAGAGCGTCATAAATGGAAAACTTCCGACAACACAAATGTAAATACTCATCGTGTTATGATTAGGCGTGTGAGGCCTATGTGCAGACTTGGCTCCCTCTGCGCTCCTGTGGGAGGGCACAGTCATCCCGTAACACACACAGCTTTTGGGTTGAGTCTGGAGGTTGTGCAAAAGCTTTGATGCAACAGCTGGGTGCTTTTTGGCTTTTCTTTCTTTCTTTCTTTTTTTTTTTTAGATAGTTAAAAAAAATTCAACAGGAAATCTGAAACAAAGGATAACTAAAAATAAAAAAGGAAGGAAGAAAGGAAGGAAAGACGGTAAGAAAGAAAGAAAGAAAGAAAGAAAGAAAGAAAGAAAGAAAGAAAGAATGAAGAGGTGACCCTTGAGGCCTTAGAAATGCAGGCCCAGCATCCGTGGGAATCAACCAGGACAGCCAAGCTCCATAATGGTTTGAAAAATTCACCACAGAAATATCTGATCAAGTTTGGTCACTGTTAATTTAAATCTAATGAGCGTTAAAGATAGTCCCTTGTTTTCTAGGTATTCTGCAGAGGAAACATTGTAAAGGCCTGACAGAAAATACAAATTTAGACTTTGAAATGTGGAAACAAATTATTTTGTATACAAACACAAAATCATATTTATTTAAAGAAAAATAGTTTTTGTTCTGTTTTTTTTTTTCTTTTTTTCTTTTTGAGACAGGGTTTCTCTATGTAGCCTTGGTTGTCCTGTACTCACTTTGTAGACCAGGCTGGTTTCAAACTCACTAATATCTGTCTGCCTCTGCCTCCTTGAATAGTTGACTTTTTTTTTAATGAAGTAAAAAAAAAAATGGTTCAAAATTGTTTCATCTTTGAACTTTTGTGTTTGTTCCATTCTAGCTGAATATAATGATTTTTTTTCTAAAATATCTGATTTTGCATCTATCCACAAACACTGTACAACTTCATGGTGTATTCAGAAACCTTCAGCTTACAAATGGCAAAAGATGCCCACTCTAAAACAGGTGCTTTCCATTCCTGTACCTACAGTTTTGATTCTGTGTGTCCTACAAGGCACATTTTACTTGAAAAATCTGCCTGTGAAGCCAGCTTAATCTTTACTTGCTTTAAAGTGTGATGCATAGGAGCAAGTAGTAGATGAGGAGATTTTTCAAAAACAAAGACAAAACTGTTGTTTGCAATAATGCACATACCTTAAGAAATTCAGTGTAAGAATACGGAGCAATCTGAATGCACAGCAATCCATAAGTAAGATATACATGCTTCATAAAATCTAGATTTCATTCCTCACTGAGGGTCAGGAAACTTACTAGCTTCCATCACAGAAGTGGAAGCAGCCATGTTTTAGAGGGTCATTAGCAGATCTGTGAGTTCTTTTGATTACAACAGAGTTTTGAACAAGGAAAGTTTTTGTTTGTTTGTTTTTTTACTGAGTTTAAAATTTTTCAGTTAACTCTGATATAACATGCAATATCTATGGTCCTAAAAGAACTTCTACATTTTCTACATTTCAGGATGTATAGCAATCATAACCTGCTATTTAAAAATGAAATCGCAGAAGTTCACCTTAAGAGTTCTTAAGGACTTTCGCTCATCAAAGCGGCCCACAGTTGTATGTATCTAGGGACTCTTATTTGGTAAGTGCCGGAGGTACCGTCTCTTGGATTAAGAGAACAGAGAAGCAAAAACTTCGGCAAATAAATAAATAAAAGTCTCTGAAAGAGGTCTTGTCAAAACAGATCATAACATTTCTTTTTTCCTGGGCACCATTAAGATCGCATTTATCCCACAGACCATAACAAAGGAAATCCGGCTACAGCGTACACGAATGTGGCCTTAGCACACATAATATCCAGAAAATCACAGCTGAACAGGAAGTGTAGTTTGCGCTTATCTCTCTTTGTCTCAGTAGTGATAGGCTGACACTTGCTTTAATACCAAACCCCTATAAAGCCTGTATTTTAAGGAAAGACTAGTAAGACTTTCTGAATGGAGTAAATATAAACAGAGATCTCTTAATTTGCCACTCCAACTTGAGTCTATCTTGCAGACTACTATGAGTTTACTTGCAACCAAGGACTTAGAGGAAGCGTGACTTTTGTCTTCACTCACTCATCAAACAAATTTGTGGATATTAGCTTCATATTTAATTTGTTCACCACTGGAACCTGTACACCTCAAAGTAGCTAGTGAATATTTGTGGCTAAAGAGATAGGTGAGTCTTTAAACCAATGATGCTCAAATCTTTTTCTCTTGCTATGGTCTCTCCTGGATTCCAATTGGCTAAATTAAGCATCTACTGACATTCTATCCAAACATCTCACGGGAAGCCTCAGACCCAACACATCCAAACTCTATCTTTCCATGTTTTTGTGTCATCCTCACTCCAGCATTATACAATTGCCTAGTCCCATGCATCCACATTGATTCGGTCTTCAGTCTATGCTGTTGCACTATGCATGTTTCCGCTATTCCTGAGATCGAGGCTGGGGGCATCCCCAGTTCTCACCACCATGATGGGGAGTCTCCAAACCATCTGTTATCTACTATCCATTTTTTCATTCTGGCATCCTCAAGACTCCGTTCTCTAATCTGAAGCCAGAACCCTCTCACTGGCAGGCAGATCTGACCATTCATTCCCTTAACACATATTTACCGAGCAGCTACCATGTGCCAGGTGCTGTGCTAGATCTATGGTCCCTGATTCTAGAGTTTGCAGTCTAGCCATCAAGGCAGCTAAATTTGTTTAAAACAAATTATTAGAAGTAAGTATAAACAGTCTTAATGACACGGAGGGAACTCACAGCAAGAACATTAGAAAGGAGGGTGAGGAAATATCTTTCTCAAGAGGCGCTGTCTGAAAGCTGTTGAGAAGACAGGTAGGACAGAAAGTGTTGGGCTCTTTGGCAGATGTGCAAAGGCTCTGGGGTGTGACAGTAGCAAGTACGGAAGAGGCTGAGGTAAATCCAATGTATTCAGTTTACACTGTGAGAAGTCTTGCCTATGAGAGCCCCACAGGAAGAGCACCAACTCTTCCTGTGGTTTTGTCACTTCCTACCTGTCCTTCAGGACCAAGCTCTCTTGATACCGCTATCAACTGTCTGTCTGAGCTGACCTCTCTTGTGAAGGCACTCCTCTCTCTGTGTCCAACGCTGACCAGATGCGCCGTGCACGGCACTAACACAGTAGCTGGCACATGCAATGGCAGTTCCCCTTTCCCCGGATTGAGCATGTCCCATGTGAGCCGGCAGTTTACTCTGTGTCAGTGTTGCTCCAGCTGGAGGGACGGTACCCGGCAAGCAGGAAGTACTTCAGAGAGACCCTAAGCGAGCAGAACTCAGACGACTCAGTTTTGGATAAAAAGAGTCACAGAATTTGTTTGTCTCTCACACGCTTTGTAATGAGGCTGAAATAAACCAAGCCCTGGAAAACTAAACCATCCAAATAAAATCAAGCCATTCACATCTATCCCTTCCAAACGGAACAGGACCAGCACAGGGAAAACAACCCACTTCCATGTGACTTTTGCTGGAGAGGGTACCATTGGTTTCTCTGCTAAGAAATACTTGGGTGCATGCTGGGGTTTTTGTTCTGGTCTACTATCTGGGAGACCAGACAAAAGTAGAATCGAAGGGCAGAATTTCCCAGTGAACCCTGACAGCTGCCCCCAAGAAATCTCGTCTCAGACTTAAACTAGGATCATGGTGACTGAGAACATCACTGCAAAAATATCTTCAGCCCCCTATCAGCAGCCGGCTGCCTCAGAGTGAAGTAAAAGGAGAGTGCACGTGAGCAACTGTATGAAAGCCAGAAACATGAAAGCAAAGAGTGTATTTCACACGCTCTTGTGACAGCATGTCTTCACAGCATAACTGAATTATCAGATAGATTTTATGTATAATTTGTCCCTGGCAGACAGAAGGGCTGTGTAAACCCTCTGTCTGACATTCAGTGGCTAGTTTTGCTCTTTCACTAGTTGTGTGGAAACCTGCTGATGAACTCTGTTAGGTGACAGCAACAAGACAGGAAGCCGAAGAAGTGATGGAAAAAGTGAGATGGTGGGCATAATTACTAAGCAACCCAGGCAGATTAATCTTTCATTCTCACACACACAGAGTCATAAAAACGCCTCACAGGGAAATCACACTAAATCGGGTTGTTCAGCTTTATTGCAAGATGAAGAAAAAGTAGAAACATAAAAGGCAAAGTAAGTTTTGGTGGTTTGAAATTCAGACGTTATTGACCTTAAAGATCTCTGTAAACTCTGGAACTGAGTAAATTCAGTAAGTCTGGAAAGGCTTCGAGATTTCCATTTTAAGCAGGGCCTCTTAAACAACTGGAAAGCACAGGCTGCTGCTAAGTATGCCGGAGACGCTGGCAGTGGCCGACTGCTCGGTGATCTGGCTCAAAGTTCTGAACTCAAGTTCAGAACTATAGAGGAGGCTGAAATAGGAGCAGGTCTCTTTTCTTTTTATCTAACATGGCTAAAAAAGTTCCTTTACTTTGTTCAGTGAATTCCCAAGTAGAGCATAGGTTTCAATACCTGGGAGTCAGCCATTCTCAGTGAGAGGGGAAGAGCCTTTCTGGAGAGGCTGAGGGTAAGGAGAAGCAGCTGTTTTCTTTACCTCAACAGTATCGGCAGTTATTACAGAAAATGCCTTTCTCTGGAGATCAAATCTCATTTTATGGGACGACTGACTATCTATCTACCTCAAGGCAGGACAGGAAGAGCTAGGTTTGCTGAGATGTGGCAATCCCGCTGAACTGCCTAGAGGTGGTGGGGAGAGAGCCAGAAACAAGCCGTTTTGAGGGCTGGCCGTCAAAGAAAGTCGAGTGTCTCTGTACAGTGAAGTCTGTATCCGAGGAAGATACAGTTAAGGCTGCGTACAGGACTAGGTGTTTCTCATGTTCAAACACCAAGGCCCTCCCTGTCCTAAATTATCTGAGCATGTGATAGATGCGAGTTGACTGCAG